AAAAAACCACTATGGTCAAGGAGTTTAGTTTCTTAATCTTTTAAATTATATAGGCCTAGGCCTAATATTTGGTGATATTTTTGTACGAAATTAAAGATTGATTGATTTTTGGTTATATGTTTGAGTGATTGATTGATTAATTTACAAATTAATTGTTTGCTTCTGTTATTATTGAATGACCGATTGGTTGATTAAATGATTGATTGATTGATTGATCGATGAACTTATTGATTTGCTTAATCAAGTAATTAATACTTAATTGATCGATTAATTAATTGATGGATAATATGGATTGATTGTAGACAAGAGTGCTCAATGCAGTATATAGCAGTATTATAGCAGAGCAGATAGACAAATAAAACATTTAACACTGGGTTAAAGACTCTGAGTGAAGGAATAATGAAGTACATAGATTGTGACAGTTTATCAGAACAAAAGTATGTTAATTCCCAAGTGATTAAGTCTCTTGTTTAGATGGATAAAAGAAAGCCTATAGGATTAAGTAGTATATCGTAACAAGAACTACATGAACTGAATAATTTGTTCCTTTGATTTAGAGTACAAATTTCGGGTTGACATATAATAAAATACTTCTGTTGTATACAAAGGTTACATCGTTTGGTAGAGTTGGAATATGATTTACATTTAGATAATATACGCCACTTAATTTTGTACTTTATGTTATCTTCTTTAAGCTTCCAAACATATTGGCTAAGTAAAGTGTTATTCTTGTATTTATCATTACGGAATGAGAAGGTATACCCATTGTATCTATTTTTTAAACGTATTTTCCGTAAGACCAACGTATGTTTCAACTTCATTATTGCCGTCCCTAGTAATTGTAGCTTGGTATACTATGCTGCTACTTAGACATTTCCCAGATAGTGGGCATTCACTATGGTTTCGGCAATTGCATAGCTTGCAGTTGTCTTCTGCCTTGTCATTTTTTAGTATGGTTTTATTATGGGCAGAGATTATAGATCCTATATTAGGCATGCAGCTATACTTATCTTAACAGTGTTCCTATTAAAAATCTTTCTTAATACATGATTTTGTGGGAAACAATCATCTATAATTCTAAGGAATACGTGGCCAATTCTGGTTTTTTATAAATGATTTTCTGTTATAATTCTTTTCTAGAGATATCAGATCCTTTACATAAGACAACACCAGTAATTTGTATAAGAAAGTATAATACATACTCCAAGTATTGAAATACACGCCATCGTGTTGGGATTCAATATTTCGACATTAATTATGTCATCATCAGGAATGATGATCATCATTCTGAGAGTAATTTGTATATCATCACTATTATGATTTCTCCAATCAAGCTGGCATTAATGTTAGTTTTAATGCTTTTGGACTTTAATATGTTTATTGCAGCCTTTTTATATATTTTTTATGTATATCTATATATTTATTTATATTGCTTTATGTTTTACATTATATAGCATAAGCTTCCAGTTTGTATGACTCATTCGATTACTACGGTATTTGTTCTTTGATTTGATTTTGTTCACACCCTCTATTCTTTGGTGGTTCGTTTGCTACTCGCTCAGGTTCTTTGTCACTCGTCCTACCTACGTCCGCATTGACTGTATTTATTCTTGCTTTACCTTCTATCTGTACCACCTGACGAAGGGCGATGCCCGAAAACGTTTGTGTTTTTTACCATTAAAAGTTAAGGCTACTCTACACTTTTGCTTTATGCGTTTTGTTACTATATATATATACTGTCTCTTATACACATCTAGATGTGTATAAGAGACAGCACATACAATGTGTGTAGAAAACAATTCCACAGCTAGTATAAAAGGAAACATTGTTTATTTTATTTATGCACAGATGATTACTTTATACACACATCAATATCTTAATAAAAAAACATGTCGTAATGGGAAAATCCAAGGGTATATACCACTTGGCCTCACAGCTCAGTCCGAACGGTATCGGAGGGTCTTGGGTCAGAATGGGTTGTTCAACTCGTCATGACTGTGCACCTCCCTATTTTACATTGGTACTTTGTGTACTCATTAATGTTAGGCTATATACATATAAAAATAATGTACTGTATTTTTCTAACCTACATTTTCATTAACCCCTTGTGATGATATAATGCACGTCTGCTTAGCGTCCGCTTGTGTACATGACGTATTGACTTAATTAAATAAAACTTCGGGAAAATCCCTATTGAATCAATATAACACGATCCGCATGAGACGCGTCTGTTACAGTATACTGTAGTTCTGTACTTGAAGTCACAGTTATGCTTCTCTCTAGACCTGTTCCGCTGCATTCAGGTAAGATTTATTATTTAAGTAAATAAAAACATAATTAGTAATTGTGAATTTGTTGTGAAATCACCATTACGCAATAAAAATATTTAATATTAGTGTATTGGCTCTATGCCAAGACATACGGTAATCACGCGTAGGCGGCCTATTTAAGCACTATCTGTAATTTACAGCATTAGTCATTTACCTTATTTGGCTAAACAATGCATTTGTAATATATTTTTGTATATAATAAATATGATGACACACATAATTTACACTATATATAATGCAAAAATGTGCAATAGCATTGGCACTTTACTTGGATATGTCAAATCTAAAACGCCGGGCATTTTTGTTTGGTAAGAAAAATGTCAGCTTGTTTAAAAAACTAATTAAAACAAGTAAATTCTATATTAAAATGAATTATTTATAATAATAATAATAATAATTATTATTATTATTATTATTATTATTATTATTATTGTAATTATTACTATTATTATCATTATTATTATTATTATTGTTATTATTACTATTATTATCATTATTATTATTATTATTATTATTATTATTATTATCATTATTCCATTATTATACATACAGGCCTACTGTATATTAAAATTACAATTTATAATTATATATCCGCTTGTTGTTATAAATATATATTTATTTATACTAATATTAATATCATAATTAATTTTGTAAAATATATTCTGGTGATTGTAATTATAATATTGATATTATTAATAGGCCTATTTTACATTTATTTGATCTTCGAACGTCTTGTTCGAAGGCTTAAGATGAAGGAGTATCATATTGATCTCTAGTGCTGTGAAGAAAGAGTGTAAAATATCAGTATTTTAATCGGATTTAGACTCCCAAACGAACCCCTAGCGGCCCAATTGGTTTAGAAAATTGTATACAGCAGAATGTCTTGAGTTCGAATCCCGGCTGGGGAAACTTTTTTCACTCCTCGCAGATCAGTGGTCCTCGACGACCGAAGGAGAAGCCAATTATTTTATCGGAGAACTGTGCCATTTTCCGGGCATCTAAAGATGCCTCCTAAAATTTGCTTCAAACAGGGCGGGGTATGAGATAAATTTGGATCAATGTCGGAGAACTTGGTCCTCTCGTAGAGGACAATGGTCCCCTCTTGGGGAACTTTGACCTCACGTCTGAGAATTTCTGGCACCGCCATCGCAGACTCCTCTTCGTTAACTTCAAAATAAATCTAAAAATATATAGCATTTTTTAAAGACGGTTTAGGGTTTATCTCTTTTGCTGTTAGGTGTGATTATACAACACTATATACCATTATATGTTGCCTAAATCATTTAGGCTTAATGGATTTGGTAATTATGCCCAAAATGCCTATTATTCTCTTGATTTGTTCCATAAGTTACAGGCCGTCGATCATTTACTTCATAAGTATTAATGTTTTTGTTATCAACAGTTTTCTAATCAAATTTGAGAACTTATTTAATGCCGGTTTTTCTCCAACAGTTAACATGTCCAAGCGTCGACCTACAAATGTCAGAGATTTTGGTGAGCTTCTTGAGGCAAATTGTGATATTGATGGTAGCAACGAGTGTCAGTCTTCAGCAACTAATAATCCAAAGCAAGGCAACATGGCGATATTTGACACGCGATTGGTGACTTTCTTGTCTTGGCCAATACAATCAATCATTTCAGAGACGTCACTGGCGAAAGCCGGGTTCTTTTACACTCAAAAATCTGACATGGTTGAATGTTATTCCTGTCACGGAAAAATTAAAGACTGGCAGATTGGCGATGACGCGTTTAAGGAACACAAGCGACACTTCCCACGATGCCCATTAGTTCAAAATATTCAAATTGATGAGGACGTGGACGAAGTGGACAGCGCCAGTGTCAGTAGTAAATTCACCTTCAACCAGAATAATCGAATATTAATTAATTCTCCACTGTTTGCAGCACAACAGAACCAGACGGCAAGAATCGTCGATACAAATAAGACGCTTCATCATCGCCAACCACCACAACTTACACGAACTTTGTATCCACAGTATTGCGATGCACCTGCACGGCTTAACACATTTCGCTTACAAGACTGGGAGGGTCAACAAACGCCGGAAAATTTAGTGGAGGCTGGTTTCTTTTCAGTAGGGGAGAAAGATCAGACAAAATGTTTCTACTGTGGTGGTGGGCTACGTAGCTGGGGGCCAAATGATGACCCTTGGATTGAGCACGCTAAGTGGTTTCCAAAATGTGATTGGCTGATACGCAAGAAAGGCGAATCCTTCGTACAGAGGGTTCAGAAGGAATTTGCTCGGATGCAAAACCCAACCAATCACTTAAGCGACCAGAAACACCAACACATGTCACCAAATAAAAATCAGCAGGGAACATCTACAAAAAGACAATCAGTGAATAAAAAAATAACTTTCGAGGAAGCTATGAAATCAGAAGCAGTCAAACAAATTCTAGAAATGGGTTATGATGTCAAAGCAGTTGGTGAGGTTGTCAAGCGCAGACTGACATCAACTGGTGATGTCTTCAAATCAGCTACAGAGTTAATTGATTCCGTAATAAAGGCTACAGAATCTCCTAGCAGTGTGACAAGCTCTCCCCAACTTAGGCATAAGTCTTGTGCAGAATCTAAGTGCCACGATGAGAACATTTCTTCTGGGAGTGATCAATTGGATTGCGATGTTCCAGGAAAATTACAGAGCATGATTCAGGATCTCCGTGATAAGACGACGTGTAAAATATGTATGGACGACGACGCCTGCATAGTCTTTGTTCCTTGCGGTCACCTTGTTACCTGTCTTTCCTGCTCCCCGTCTCTTTCTCTGTGTCCGATTTGCAGAACTGAAATCAAAAGTCATATTCAAGCTTATTTCTAAAACTTAACATGTATATCAAATTGGAAATGATGTTCTCCGTTATAGTAGGCCTAATAAATTTCTATTTGAAAACTAATACAACAACAAATTTTTTTTTTAAATCCTCAATAATTCCCTTTACTATTTTTAGTATGTATACGCAATGTTATAGTGTTTATGATCTTATTAATTTATTGGGTAATTTAGTTAGTTTAGTTTTCTCACGACTAAAAAAACCAAAATTTAGAGTTTATACAGCATTGTCCTTTCTGTAATTGGCGAGCTACCTGTGTTAAATGTAAGTGAAATAAAAAAAAAATGTAAAAAAAAAAATATGTAGGCCTAAGGACGAAACAACATTGTATGCAGATTGATTCAATGCTCCGTAATCTAGGTTTTGTTGAGCACTTTTGGGATAGTACCATGCTGTTATATTTGGCTGTCCCGCAGTGCTTTTAGCCAGGGGTGGCGCTAGTGGGGATCCACCATTGAAACCGAATTATTGTCATAGTTTCGTGGGGGGCTTCTCCCCCTGGATCATTTACTAGAGATTTTGAGCGAATCGGACCACACCTACTACGCTCCCGTCGCCACACCCTCTCGTCGCCACCCCTTGTTTCAGCACTCTTGGCATGGTATAATAAACTTAACCCTCTTTTTACAAGCTGGTTTGTTTGCTAGATAGAGTCTCAAATATCTGAGCTGCACCGATGAGTCCTTAAAGGACGAAACAATGTTATAAGGTGCATTCAGCGGCGTAGCTTGTGGGGTCAAGGAACCTGGTGCCCCGGGCGCCAGGTTTGGGAGCGCTGAAATGGGAGAATGAGAGTAAAAATAAGCACTTTTTAGAAAAAAAACAAAAAACGACGAAATTGATGTGTCAGGCATGAATATTTTCCAGTTAATAATAAGAATCTAAATGTAGTTGTTTTTATTGGTAAATTTATAGATTGTGATTTCTTTGTAGTCCATTTAGACCGTTTTCTCTCTGTTTTTTTTTTTGTTTTTTTTATCCTATTCTGTAATGACTACATGACTAAAGCTCATCCTGCCATATCTCAGAGCCAGGATGCGAGACTGTCGGATTTGGCACTACTAGCGCGTGATGGAGCAGACATAATTGAGGGTGGGGAAGGGGGGGCGGAATTTTCTACCCTTGCCTCGGGCGCCAAAACCTCTAGCTACGCCACTGGGTGCACTCACACCGAATCCGAATTTTCGGATCGGAATGCAACGAACCGATCAGAAAATCGGATCAGTATGTAAGGAGACATATCGGAAATATGAGTTATAAAATAATAATCTTGAAGAGGCCAAGACACTATATGTGATGTGGCAATTAAAGATGGCGGAAAAGGTAAATCTGAGGTGCATGATGGTCATGTGTCATCACCTTACCTTTCCTCTTCAGGCCTTGTGACCCATAAGGCTAAATGTGTCATCTTAACACCTTATTACTGTACAAAAATCATTAAAAAAAATACACCCTTATAACCGAATCACATGTGAATTCGGTACCGTACTTTATTATTAAACATGATACAGTAAGGCAGTGTAGGGAATAGACACGTACACGCTCCCGCTTTAGGAGCCTATTTTTGTATGATGTTGTGTTGTGTCAGGTTTTTGTTATGCTGTGAATTTTTTATAATGGTAATTTACAAAAACAAAAATATAAAAAAGAAAAGAACAATAAATACTAAATAAAAATTATGAATATTTGTTTTAATAGCTATGAATTTGTTTTTTTAATGTTGCTCTGATCAACCAATCAACTAGGCGTTTTTCGCCTTCGTTAGACGCAAGCCCAACATTTCGTTCGGACCCTTCTTCTCTGTCAAACATGTCGGATCCCTAGTCTGCAAATTTCTGGAGCCACCGCTGTGGTTACCCTTTTACCAAACAAAATGTACGATGGTTAGCGAGGAACCTAGAAGGTATTAGGCTCAGATCTAATGCCGACCAACCGACCTTGATTTAAAATTATAACATATTTTGTGCATGCTTGCCGCTTAACTTTCTTTATATAGAAAATGAAAATTTGCCTTGCGCAGCTGTGTTCGTCATGCATTAAAAAAATGTTTACCTTCGCAGAATAGGCCTCATACAATTTCATAAACATCAGTACATTAATAACACCTAAATGTAGTAAAAGCACGGGATTTGTTTCAAATAGACCTTTCCTGAATGTCAATCAAACCTAACAACTGACCAATCAGAACAGCGCTAAGAATAGGCCTACGCGCGTTTCACAAACACACGTGTTTTCGTATATGTTTTAATCTACTGTATCGTTTTGTGGGACCTTAGCAACAGTATCCAAGGGGCAGGGCTTAGCGGAAAGGTCCATCTGTCAGAAGTTCAGCAACTGTAATCCAAAGCAATGCAATATGGCGATAATTTCTATGCGATTGACGACTTTCTTGTCTTGGGAAATAAAACCAATTATTTCAAAGACGTCAGTGCGTATAGTTCTACATATTCTGATGCTGTAAGCAGCGTACCGTATTCAAAGCTATTGAAATTACAAAATATCTAGAAATCGCGTCTTGGTCTTCAAAGTTTTTTTGTTTTTTTTCAATTTTAGGAAATTGTAATTTTGTACAAATGAACGTTCTAAATATTTTTTTTGTACACATAAACATCTTGATTATGAAAAATTCTTATTACCTCTTCCAAAAAAAAAAACAAAAAAAAACAAAACCAAAAAAAAAAAACACCCTAATATAATAACTTGCGCCTGTACCGTATTTAAGCATGGAGGAGCGCTCGGACCGGTGATCCGTCGCTCTTGATGGACAACCATTCTTATTTAAGTAACTAAACATTATGTACATGTGATCAACTTCTCTTTATTAGATCTGTTACATTTTAACCACTTTATTGAATAGGATTAAACATAACAAAAATGTTACATTTTAAAAAGTGAATGTTGAATATGAATTTAATAGTATGATTTTTTAAATATTTATATTATAAATAGGGTGCCTTTCAAGTCTATTTTCCTTATATATTTTTTAATAATCCAAACATGCATTAATTTTTTAAAAGAAGCCCTCCTCTCTTTAGTTTGCAAAAAAAGAAGTAATCTCGAAAATAAGCCCATGGCCCGAAAAGAGGGCCATCTCGAAAATAAATAAGCCCATGGCCCGAAAAGAGGGCCATCTCGAAAATAAGCCCTTCCAAGCGACCTAGAAAAGAAGCCCATGGCTTCTATTCAAGGTTTTACGGTATTTCTTGTTCAATTTACATCCCCTTCCCTAGTAGCTTACAAAACAGACCTTTGAAAGAATACATCACTATCAATATCTTCAAAATTTGACAAGATTTTGAATGTATCATGTCACCCCTGGCGTCTTTCTTCCAGGCTCGTAGCCAGGTTCTTCCATGGGTGGGGGGAGGGGGGTTCTGGGCGTGAAGTCCACAGTCGAACCCCCGGTGGGGTCGGCGAAACCCCCAAAGCAAGATGATTTTTGGCTAAATAATGCTATGAAAGCAGATATGTTTGAAAATGTCTGTGTCTGGATGGGTCTGCAGTGCATTAGTTGGGGTTGAAAGACTTATTTGGGAAATTTAAAGAGGGGGTTTAGCCAGAAAAGAGGGGGGTTTGCTAGAAAAGGGGGGTTCTCCCGAACCATAAATCCCCACCCCCTGGATACAGGCCTGTCTTCTTATGTAGTGAGCCTATAATAAGCCATCCTCGTACGACACGCGACGTAATGTAGCAGTCTCGTACTAACTCGCCGCTGATTTTTTTTCTTTATAAAATCATGTAAAGGTATATAAAGGTCTCCCTCCAATTAAAAACCACATTTTGGACCTGGGTTTCATTGGTCTCTAATTAGAATAATAACGATAAAAGGCATTTGTTAATTTCAGACCGCAGGAAGGTGGTCTTTAATTAATTAAAAAGGTCTTAGGGACACCTGTTTTATTTTCGCTTTTTTGTTATCCCTTTTTCAATTGACCTAAAAGCTACAAGCTTTCTAATGAAATTTAAATCATGGTTCGGAACGAACCCAACTGATCATTCTGGCTGGGTGGACCACTTTCACAAAATAATTTATTGCTGAAATAGGTATTATCATAGAAATATTATATTTACTATAATACCTCCATGGTATTATTGATACCTTGCTGAACGGGTCCACACAGCCACTACATGATGGCGTATTCTTCTTCTTCAGGCACGTCATGCGTGGGGAATTCCCCTTAATGGTATTACGTCATTATGTAATTTCCTTAGACGTTACAATACAGTATAAAATGACTCTGGAATGTTCTGTACAATGGCAGAATGCGAGGCTTGGCTTTTCTATGGCTAGGTGAATCATCATGCTCTTTATTTAATTTCGCAATCTTAAAACTACTAAAAATAATGGTTAGTTTCAGAGTGGCAACGGTAGAAACCAGTACGCCGTCACGATTCAGAACGGCGAGTGAACCCAACAAGAGAAGACCCGACGCGGACGGCGGTGTTCGAAAGAAGGGTAGCCTACTTAATACTATAGAGTAGCCTAGTGTAGGACACAGTAGGAAGCCTGCCTTTGGTACGTAATGGTCTTCATTGGTTTACTGTGGCTTTTTTCTTGTGTGGCTTTAAGGGCCTAAGTAGTTCGGGTCAATTCACATTCGCCGTTTCATTGAAGTAATAGTTTTTAATTATAATGGCCCTACACACAGAGACGCACACACAGAGAAGCACACACACACACAC